GCAATTCATGAAGGATTCTAGGTCTGAATATGAACTAAAGATTTATCAATTTGGGACAAATCCAAATGCACCATGGTAATTAAATGATTAACACATAAATTTTTAATTTCGAAGGAAGAAAACCGAAAATGACGTTTGCAGAGAACTACCGTATTCAAAAAGATCAACTGCAGTGCTAAACGAATGAATTTCAACTAAATCGAGGAATAATGAATACCTCCAGGAATATTGTGTACAACGACGCAGTATAGATTCAACGGTCTGTGTTAGTCTAACAAGTTAAAAAAGACACATGGGCTATTTCATATGCATTCGAAGTAATACACATGAATATAATATGGTTATGAACTACAGTCTATACACATTATTATACATTGCAATTAAAATTGTTTTCATTACGTTCACTCGTCGAGTGTACTCTGCATATGTGATGGGTCAATAGTTGAAAAGATTGAGCAATGGTAACATCTGGACGAATTAAACGCTGTTTTGATGCTCAAATAGAAATTTTTTTGAACTTTTTTTGAGTAGATATTTCATACTGAAATTTATTCAGAGATACGTCAATTTTTCACAATGTGACACCAATGTTACTTCAAGTTGCAAATCTGTTGATGTAAATATCACCTCTGAAATTATATAGGTCATGGCAATCACACGCTTATGACTTGTCATTTGAATTTAAATTGTTGACAATGGCAACGGAAATAGTATAGAATTATTTTCGAAACTAATTTCCTTTTCTTTCCATCCAATTTGAATATATCTCCTCAAAATATGTTTACAGATTTAGTAAGGTTAAAGTGAAACGTGAAACGTGGACATTTGAAGTGGAAATTCTAAAGAAAATCCATCTGATCGTGTTGAGCCAGTATATTCAGTTGTTTATACACCACCAACGAGTATGGCGTAAAAGTAAAAATACAGTCAGATTGACTGAAGAAGGTATGAAATGTTTATTCAATACTTTCGCGTTATAATATGTCATTTCAGTTGGAAAACTCCACTGTTATCGGATTCATTGAATGTTGAGACTACAATCAAGAAACAAATATGAAATAATTTAATCTGTTTTGGTGTGTCCAGCACATACAAAACAACATTTTTAAAGCAAATAAGTTCTATTGGTGATATGTCATTTCACCAATAGAATATTTCATTAGTATTGGTAATTTCAGTACAAGTGACAAATTTACTAACATTGCCTATTGTATTGAATTTACCAATACAAATGAAAAATTCCATTGGTGAAATGACATTTCACCAATAGACCGTCAGGGTTCAATAATGTAATCTATTGGTACTTTTGCATTTCACCAATAGAACTGGCAGGGTTCACCAATTCAGTTTTCTCTGTGAGGTGAATGTTTATTATTAAAATACAAGAAAAATGAAATTTGTTGGAAAATCAAGGTATTTTGAATGAATAAAACACTTTAATCCTAAAAAAGCGTTCAATTTTGTGCTTGTTAAATGCGATAATTCCAACTCAATATTTTGGTTCAAGTGTATCCTGTGCGGAGGATGGCGGTTGTGCAATTACAATATTCGGAGTAGCAGGAGCTTCTTGGATGGTTTTAATGTCCGGTTGTTTCGGCATTGTATCAATCTGATATCGATTTGAACCAATGATGATCGGAATATCAACCGTAGGTGTAGTGTAGAAGGGTGGCGTCACCGCAACTATCTGCTCAAAACATTCAAAACCAATATTCAATACAAAGCGCCAAAGCATTAACATTCAAGAAATAGAACGCTGCTTACACGAATGAAATATCTGACTTTAACGATATTACTCACTGTTGTGTCCGTTGGTGGAGTTTTTGGTATTTCGATATTAATCCGAATTGTTTTCCTTTGATTTCCATCGCATCCTCCTGTGGTCTCCTCAGACAGTGTCATGGTTTCCTCCCTCCACTGTTTGTTGTTGGAATACCCAAAGAAAGTGATATGCTGAGATACCCTATAAATTAGTATAAAATTTAACAATGAAAATGGCTCAATCGCTCGTTTACTCGAATCAATTCGGCCGTAAATTCATAGAATGAATGATTGCTGATATTTTCGACATTGATTTCCAGATTAATGGATTCTCCTGAATTGTATCCACCGAATGGCATGCGAGCGGTAATTGTTACAGGATCCGGATTGGAGCATGAAAAAAAACATGGAACAATTTTTTCCTGAATTCCAACAACGACTGGATTCTGTAAATGAAAAATGTTTGAATGAAAACCATAACGAAGACAAAAGTGTTGTGTAAATTACCCGCAATGTTTCGCGTAAATTAGTCGGACGAATAACGGTGAAAGGTTCCTCAAATTTCTTATCAACCCACATTGGCATATCGCAAACAACTTTTGCCACATATCTGATATGTCCACAATCGCCTTCAATGGACGACGGCAATTGATGGGGTAGTGTGAACTCAAAGGTAAACTTGTATGTCCCCGGTTGTAATTCAATTGAACCAGCTAAATTATAATTGCAACATTAGTGGTGTCATTTTCGAATACACCGACCCATTACCATTATTGAATCCACCGACAAAACATGTTACATCATTCAGTTAGTCTTCTTTGCCTTGACACAGTCTTCGTTGCTCTTTCCAATTTGCAAATCCAAATCCACATATGCGAATATAAATACAGCGTACGGATTTTTGTATTTTGAAATTGAGTTCTGCTGTGCCCTGTAATAATCCGCCAGCGCAAAAAACTTTCTGTGGATTGTCCTCAAACTCAATTTTACACGTGATCGACATTTTTTCCTTCACACTTTTCACTTGGAATTGGTTTCATTCCGGCTATCAGTTTATTCAGAGAGCGTTGGTATACAGTTCTGTTTTGTTCAAAGCGATGGAAAAAAATCCGTTGTATCAGTTATGTTGATCAAAATAGACTAGTCCGATGATACAGTCGAAAAGATACACCATGCACCTGTTTTGTAATCGCCGAATATTGGGTTTCAGCCAATGGCTCCACTATGGCGGATGACTCCAAATACACGAGAATTCCTTTGCACACGATCACAATGCACTTGCATCATTACGTTCGTGTTTGAAATTGCATGGTGAATTTAAATATCTGATGCACATCGGATCGAACATTTGGATAAAGGGATTGCGCCGATGTTGATGATGAACGTGTTCATTGCAATTTTTTGTGGAATTCAGTAAATGGAACGAATATTTTATTCATTTTGAAACTGATGAAAATGAAATACACATGCAAGCTCTGTTAAAAAGCCCCAATTATCGTTAATTAGCACGTGAGATTGATATGGAAAAATGGCGTCGTGGCCAATTATCTAGAAAAATGTCCAAACATATAACGGATATTGAGATATTTGATAAGACATTTTTTCCATTGAAAATCTTGGTTTAATTACACAATTGCATTGCAACGTGGCACATTGATGATTTTATTGATAACACTATTCTCATTGCATGCAATTCATGTGTACAGTAGCCTCTCGATTATCCGTCGAGCACCGTTCCGCGACCCTGACGGATAATCAAATAGACGGTTAATCGAATGTGCTGCAAAAAAAGGTTTTTTCCAAAGAGCAAAAGCAGTGTTACACTTATATTTCATTTTTTATGTATTATTAGTC